CTGGGTACCTGAAACACTTGTATGATGGTCACACAGCAGCTTATCTCGTGCAGGCTGGTCTCAGTGAGAGAGCTCAGCAAGTCCAAATCCAACAATTGCTTCCCTGGACCAGGATTTTCTCCAGACTGTGGTTTCCGGAGCATTCTGGACCGCATTGGGTCGCTTTCCACAGCATTATACCCCAGTAGGTCATAAAAGCGTAGAACACATGGCTCTCTTTTGCTTCATTTTGAGCTCAAAGAAATAAATCACGGCGGTCGCGAATCATTCATGTCCCAATGTGCTGCTCTTTATAGCACACAGACAGATACAGAGAAAATTGGAAAAAAAAACTTTGAAAAATTTAGTTGTGTACAGAATAAAAAGCAATCAAACAAAATTAAAACTACCTAAGTTGTGGTGCAGAATCCAAAAGGAACGCAGGAACTTTTGAAACTCTCTAGTGGTACAATGCGCATTGGGAATATTATTTTTGTCGCCAGAAAAATCGGATTACCAGACAGGAGGCACGTCGAGCGGCGAGACGCAGAGAGATGAGTCGCAGCGTGTACTGTGGCGATTCAGAGTCAAGTTTAATGGAATGAACTACATTACGCCCCACAGCACGCGATGGGACTCGTCCGCTGACCCGTCTTGCCCTTGTCTCCGTGCGACGGGCCTCCTGTCTGATACACGAAAAGTCATGAGGGAGCAAATATTGGAGTTGAAACATTGAAGGAACCCAAAGTACATCTCTGGACAACGTTTCTCACTTGCCCTCGGACGAAAGTCCTGATAGGTAAGAATAGTGAAGCAAGCAGGGTCAACCGTCCGTTGGACAATGTCCAACGATCGGGGTCGTTTTCGGATGCCGAAAGGGGGCGGAGGGAGTCGTAAGCAAGTCGATTTTGAATTCTTCCTTTTCTAGTTTCATGGAAAAGCAAGATATTACGATTGTGGCATTCTTCGCTAGCGAAGATTCGACAGCCTTCAAAGCTTATAGCCAAGCGGCAGAAATACTACGGGAGGTAACGTAAACAAGGAATAGACATCCTGAATATTTTTTTATCCCTTATTTTTTTAGGATTTCAAGTC